AGACATTGACAAACTCTGGCAGCAGAGAGCAGACTGTACATTGATTTTCTGTCCTCTCGTGTAACAATCTAACCTACAACATACACAGTCTCTTGACAGCAACACATTTGCTTTCATTCTCTACCTCATACTCAGCTTTCCCCATCTCTTTTTTCTGCTGCAGCTGTTGCAGGAGCTTCTTCTCGTGGAGCTTTAGTGCCTGATTCTTTACATTTAAGGTCTCCAGCTGGGTGACCTGTACATACGTTTGAACAGAACAAATGAGGTGAAAGGGAGGTTAAAAACAGGACCGAAGAAAGCGGATAACTAACAAAGGTGAATAAAAGTTCTTTACGCTGCTTGCTTCAATCTTTAGAAGCTAAACCATCTTAATAATCTTAGTAATTTTATTGACTTTATATAAAATACTTGAGTAAAATTAATAATATGACTTTAAAAGGGTAAAAAGTCTCTGGCCTTTGGAAAAGGGCAGACCTATAAACAGGAACAATCTATTCAAATACTGCTGTGCACATGTTGATGTCACTGTTTTGTTAAAAAGACAAGTTTTGTTACCTTTAACTTGTCTTCAATGTACTGGAGCACCTTCTCTGGCTCTTTCATTTCTAGCGTAGGTTTGACCAGTCGACGCTCAAAATCCTTCTTGGCCTTCCTGATATCAGCCAGACGTAATTCTGCTTCCTTCGTAGAGGCCTGAAAAGACGAGTACGATTCATGAATAAATGTACCTGGGGTCAGTGTTTCTATATATTGTGTTTTATTTTTTGCGTGTGTGTGTTGTAACCTTGTAGTTGTCCTTGTTTTTTTCAGATTTCAGTTTGAGTTTCTCCCGGTCCTGTTGCGTTTCTCTTACTTCTCTCTGTGCTACGCACAGTTTTTGTTCTAAAGTGAGCGGCTGAAAACGGTCCGATATGTTGGACCTGGACTTTCGCCTCCATACAACGCCCTGAAGGCACAAAAACTCATAATAGTATCCTATCATGTTTTGTTCAAGAAAGAGAATGCAAATGTTTTCAGTCAAACATTTATTGGCTGGAAAGAG